ACCCATATGATCAGGGCAAAAAACTGCAAGAACCAGAGTCCTAGTTTCAAAGTGCTCCACTTACTGCTGTTTCTAATGCCTCTAGCCTGCTGATTTTGTTCTTCTCCTAAAAGCAAAACATGCAATACTGGTAGGTCTCCCTTTTTAGTCTCCCTTTGAATCTGTTGGAGGTTCTTTTATTGGATTCAGCTTTAGCAAGGCATTATGGTATTTGTAGTGTTTGAAGCTATGACCTTCAAAAGCCTGTTTGTATGCCTGAGAATGCCATAGTTTCATTCTCAAACAGGCTTTTTGGTGGACTGACATCAACTGTTCTTGCTTTGTCAGCTTCCGGAGAACCTAAATATTTTATAGTAGACAGAACAACAACAACGAAACTACTAAAGAAGGCCTAATAAACATCTCATTATATATCCACTTTACTTTTTACCACCTCCTGGTTCATCAGTAATTGTCTTTCTTTGTTGGCTCATTTAGCACATATAACTAGATGAACAAACGATGAAAGTAATATGCAGTATGTATAATTTTATGTGATTTATGTTGTTAGAGATAAATAGTACAACTGTTTACAGTAAAGAAAACTGTGGTTTGAAAAGGAAATTTAACACTTGAAATCTTATTATTAGTACTAGTATTCATTTATGCAAAACTGTTCTACTGGCACATACAAAGAGACAAAGCTTCAGATTTGAGAGCCTCTTGTAAATTCAACTGAAGACACAAGAACCAACAGGCAGTACCCTGAAGGGCCAAGTTAAGAATTGATAAATATCTACACTTTCACTTTTTGTTTAGAGTAGAATCAGTAAATATCTGTCCAGGTTTGGGCAAGAGCACTGCTTTGAGCTTCTGAGGCAACCAAAGGGAATCATCTTGAAGAACATGTACCCTGTACACTAAACAGCTACAATCACAAAATATCAGTAGCTATAAAATACCTTACAAACAAAATTGCATGGCCCGTTATGGTCTCCGCAGGTTCACTTCACTGTATCTTTTACCCAAGTTAATAGAAGTTTGCAAGACTCCAGTCATTTTTGGAGCTCACAAGTTTCAATTTCAGTCATACACTGTGTGCACTAACTGGCTACATAGTAATAAGAGTCTGGCCTGATTGTATCAACAATCACAATTAATATAGATATATGTAACAAAATGCCTTATTCAACAGCAAAGAGAGTAAGAGAGAACAGTTTGTATTTCTTATCCACACCACTTTTGATTTCCTACAGTGCCAAGTTTCATTTCTGTAAGAAAAATGGCTTCTCATTTCTGTGGTCATTCTACTTAGTTTCAGTTTTAGTGTAATGGATAAAATGTCCACTGGGCCTGGATACTGAAATATTTTTTTTTAGCAAGCCTTCAATATACAAATCATTGTAAACACTAGCTGGACTTTCTATAACAGGAATTACAATTATACCAGTGGTAAACCATGACTATGACTTCAATTCAGTCCATAAAAATCAAAATTTGATCAAAAAAACCTTGTATGACAATGCTAATTTGTGCTAGCTTCCCTATGGAATTTCTAATAGTATGGTAGCACTGGGCTAATGCCAGTCCCACGCACATTAACAATGATTTGACGTTCTAGATTGAAGTTTATAAAAGACATTTTATATCTTTTATTTGATACTTGTAACATACATTAACATATATTTAACCTTGTATGTTGCAGTTTTACAGTAAGGAGCCCTGGAGTAGAGCTCTCTCTGTTTTCCATCTCTAACAACTAACTGATTCAATTATACATGTACATACATATGTTTTTATGTTACACTAACACTAACAAACTGCTTTTTATGTAACTAACTGTACAATGTGTGCACTAATTAACACATAAAGATCCCATATTCTACATTTTTCTTGGATTTTTTTTCACTGAGGTCCACTTTTGACATTTGTGTTGTGTACCATAAACAGTCATGACCATTTTCCAACCTTCCTTTATCCCTTTGAATTAAACAAGCTGTGTTTGTGACTTCACCTTTAAGAGTGATATATGTAAATGACCTTTGTTCTGATTGGCTGCCCTGTACGGCGCCTTATTCAGGTCGATTGAATAGGCGCATGTATGTAAATGAGTTGTGACATCACAAAAGCAATGAATTCACAACAGGCTAATATAGACTGTGCAGACCGGGGAGTGATTGATACATGTTGACATATGAAATGTTTACATATTACATCAAACCATTGTATTTCAATATAGCAAGACACATTCAGTTTTCCATGACATGCTGTCAACCTGCCATACTACTTATATTCAACTCAAAAGACTTCGCAAGACAAATCACAAGCACTCAGCGACAATGAAACCACATACAATGTAGAAAAGGAATAGAAACCCTTGACAGAGTGAGGGAATCAGGAAGAAGGAAACAAGAAAAAGATATCTAAATAAGATGGAGTGCAAGCACACACACACACTCCACAGCCCATACCTGCCATACACATTCCTCAGGCTTGCTCAAGCTGAGAGCTGAGAGCAGCCTACAGATTGGCAGAAAAGGAAAACTGCTGCACATTGCTCAAACTGAAATTGGCAAACACCTGATGTATATTTTTACAAGTCAAACTCATATTCTTCTTGAGGCATGAATGAGGCCCAAAGGTAAAATGGATATTTAAATATCACATGCATACAACGTGCCATTCAGATGAACTATGAACTCCATAGTGGAAGATGATGGCATCATCAGCAATCTTATCTCTTGGACTCAATCACTCATTCTTGCCATTAACGAACTTACTGGAACACAAAGAATGGGCCTAGTCAAGCAACTATGATAAAGGTGAACAGCTCCCTAAACCATTCACAACCCCCTACTCTTCCCCAAAGCCAAAAATCAATTTCCCTACTTTCTTGAAATGTAGTTGATCAACCAAGACATGTTTGAAGTGTCTTTGCTTCTTAAGTTTCGCACTGGAGCTACAAGGCTAATGTAGCTAACAAGTAATGGAAGCTTATAGCTGCTAGGTTAGCTTTGTGCAAACTGCGTTGTTGAGTTAGCCTTGCTTACATGGTTTTGTGAAACTGTAACCGTACATTTAAGCTAGAGGGCCGACAAGTTGCTAATGTCACCTCAAGTCTGGCTTTTGTGGGCTACACTTGTTGTTGCATGTGGGCATTTAATTAGATAAAATTGATAAAATTTCAACTCATACTTGTCATATTCCACGCTGCCACCCTGTAGCTTGTTGCTAATCGCAGCTACAAATCACATACTCCCATAGACTGCACCCTGGTGTAGTAAAAAAGGTCCGCAAGGCTAAACACATCGGCTTTGGAACATATTAGTTCACCGCAGCAGCGATTTTTCTCAAACTCACTGTAAGAAGTGCTACTTAAATCTGCGTAGAATTTACTTTACTTTCTGAGCACTGTGCTAAATTAAATTGCATAGTGTTCCGCTGCCAGGACTTTTATTCTGATGTGCTCTGCCTTCACTTCCCTCTCTAAAACCACAAGTTCTTGTGACAACTACTCAGCATTTGTCTTTCCCCGGACTTGCTCAAATCCTCCAGACTGCTGGCATATTGTGGAACAGGGATCTTGTGTCTCCATTTTTGTCGTTTTTCAGTTTTTGACATAATTTGAAAATGCCTGTTGGCCTTTACATGAAGAATGGACCAAAAGAAGCAGCCCAAAATGATATGGAAAAAAGTCTGATTCCATTGACTAACATTCAGAGTAAAGTAGGTTTTTTTCCTCTTCCTGTAAAGTTACCATTTTGGAGATACAAGGTTTTCTTCCCACAACAATGATATACTAATGTATTATTAGAACTATTAACCCCAAGATTAAGAAGTAGGCCCACAGCTCCTATAACTTCATATCGTACTACATAAAAAGTTTAATGTGACAAACTCCTCTCTAGAGAAACTTACAAAGCCAGAATTGTTCACAGAAGTGATGATAGGAATCAGAAGTTCGATAGGTGTAAAGCCTCTGAAAGCTCCCTCACAGAAAGCTGTTACATGAAATGGTTATGAATATGCTATTACCTGCGATATTTTTTATGATAGTTATGGTCTAGATTTTGGTCTACCACATATCTTCTTTAAATTGGTGGCAGAGAGGAATATGCAGGCTATGTTTACATTGTAGATATCGTAACTCCTGGTTCCTATCACCACCACTGTAAAGAAATCTGTGTTGATAAGCTCTTCTACAATGCACCATTTCAAATCGACCCTCTCTGAAAGACTCAGATTAAATCTCAACCAATGAATTATGCAGAAAGTTTTAAAAATTGTACATATACCTAAGTAATAATACTTAAGTAATTTTGCCAATGATGTAATTTAAACAACCTGAAAGTTAATCAACAATTTCCATTTGATTTGACTGACATAATATGGCATTTTTTATTTGGATTTTGTGTGTCAAAGGTCAATTTTTTGCATTCAAGCATTTGATGAAAATTTAACATGATTTTCAGTGGAATTCTCCTTTACATGTTCTGTCACCAGTTCAGATAGAGTTAAAACACTACATGCATGTAATGATACACCTTACAGCCTCCCTGATAACTGTTTTACACACACACCTACACATGTTCAGGGCCCACCCTAACAGCAAACATGGGAGGCCAGAGCTGTAGAGTCCAAAGACCAACGGGCAATACAGCACTTCGCTACAGGAACACACTCACACAAACATACAGTTTTAATCCCCAAATGAAAGTTTTATAAAGTACGACACACAAAATGTCAGCGATAGCCTAGTGAAGGTTAAGCAAGGTCGCAAAAGCAGGGTTACAGACTTAATTATGACATCACAATCACCTGTGACATCATAATCATACAAACAATAAACAAACTAGAAGACAACTGTATAATTGCAGGAGAAAAAAGGCCTGAGGGTGAATCAGTTAATCACACTAGCACACACACACACACACACACACCTGAAAGTTTGAATGGAACACACACTCAAGCACACACACACACACCGACACTCAGGAGTTCTAAGAAAATAGACACAATACCTGCCTCCTCGGATGACCCTGGTGTCTGTGTGTCCAGCTAATTCTGCGGTCAGTGCGAGTGTGTTGTGACACCAACCTCACACACACACACACCAACACACCGCTCTACCTTTCTCACCTGAACACTCACCCACTCTCTCTCTCTCTCTCTCTCTCTCTCTAAAACACATACACAGACACACTTCAGTGGCAGGCGAAGCAGTGGAGTGAAGTGTGTGAGTGTGTGTAGGAGGTAGTGGAGTGTTTGCTCAATGCCTATGAGGGGTGGAGCTAAGAAATAGGTGCCCCCTCCTGCCTAACCTACCTTTCTCTTTTTTTTCAGGATTTCGAGAGAGAGAGCAAAGTTCTTGGGTGTGACGAGATAAAGAATTAGGACATAAGAGGCTGAAAGAGGGAGAGAGAATGTAAATGTGCATGTTTGGAGGGGTATAAAGTGGGAGTGATGACTGAAGGTTATCCAGTGAAAGTTCTTCATGTCTGACTGAAGAGGATATTCCGTACCGTCCTATTCAACTGACCACACACATCGAACATCAGTTTTCTGAACCCAGTTCACAATGGTCAGCATTAACCCCTTAAACTGCAGGCCTATTTAGTTATAAGTCTTAGCTGGGCCATTGTACTCACACAAAAAACACAAAAACATTCATCATTCTTTTTTACTAATCCTCTCTTTGTCTTTTAGAACTAAACAGGCTGTTTTTGACACTCTGCCTTTTAAACTGATATATGTGAACAAGCTCTGTTCTGACTGGCTGCTTTATATTGCACATCATTTAAAAACCAATCCAGGCTGAAATGCTCCTTATAACCTCATTACGAATGGGAGGATATATGTACATGCATTGGATTTGGTGATATCACAAAATCAATCTATTCAAAACTTTCCATTACAGCAATTTAGTTTACTACTGGCTGAATAGTACATTTTGAAAGTTTGACAACGTTTGCAACTACACTGCAAAAAACAGCTTGTCAGTTGAACCTGAAAAATGACTTCATCTGCCAAAATGATGTTTCAATTCAAATTCACTTCAAATCAACTTTTGCCAAAAAATGTGAGCAAGATGTGGCTCATATGGGCTCTTGTCGAGTAAAAAAAATGTAAACAAATGAAATGATTTCCCGATTACTGCACATTCAGACCAAGTAATATTTTTACCCACATATGGGGTGTTACAGTTTAAGGGGTTAACAAAGTTTGAATGCTCCTGATCAAATGACATGTTTTGTTGATTTTCAGAGTGGATAAGTTAACACATCCTCCACAGAGAACAAACAAACATATTTTAGTGCATAATTTCAATGTATTTGCTGAGCTTAATGTATTGGTAAAGAATAAACCATAAAAACTTTTGCACAGGCCACAATTTGTTAAGTTGAGCAAGTAAACAGCAATTGTGCATTAAAATGTGCAGAAGTCTATTCTCTGTAAAGGATATGTTCACTTCTCTTTGAATTCTCAATTAGAACATCAACAAACCATGTCATTGACCAGGGGTGCCCAAACTTTTGCACACAACTTTAACACAGCTTGTGTATTCAGTGAGAGAAAAAAATCACAAACATGTTCGGTGGAAATGAAATCAGACTCGTTGTAAAGACAGGTAGCTGCACGTCAAGGTTGTGAGTGTTGCTTTAGTAACACAGATAAAGACATCTTTATGTGTGTGTGTGTGTGTGTGTGTGTTTGATCTACACAACTCTGAACACCAGTAATACAGACTTAAAGCAGAGCTGCATGTCAGCCCTGGTTTAGATTGACTGTTAGACACCCTACCACTGTAGTGCTGTACATCTTCGGCTCACATCTTTAACTGTGCGTAGTTTAAAACTGCCATGTTTATACATACAGTTATAACTAACATAACATTAATTGCAATGTTCACATATTAAAATGGAAATTACACATTTTCATGTTTTTCCTCTCCAAATTTCAGCATAATTAAATCAGTAAGATGTAAACAAAGTGATTCTGAGTGGTTCAGTGTGTAATGCTCTGTTCTAGGGAAACTTGCTGAGTCAGAATTGCTCACAGTGGTGGTGATAGGAACCAGACGTCGACCTCTAAAACCTCCCTCACAGAAATGTATTACATGAAATTGTTATGAATACACTGCCTGACACCTGAGATGTTGTTTTGCAATAGTTTAGTGATGCCGTTTTGGCCTAAAATGTACTTACAAGGAGAGGCCGAAGAGGTACATGCATGTTACTGTAAGCCAAAATAATAACCAAGGAAAAGTATCTATTCACCTTTACCACTATTTTACCATTATCAACATTTCATATAAAAAGAGATGTGTACTCGTTGTTTTGGATGGTAAATAAATGGCTACATTTCGACCCCTGGTTCCCACTACTGTAAAGAAATTTGTTAAGTTAAAAAGTTTTTCAATAATGAAACGTTTCACATCAAAACAAATGACTTTACACATATTTAGTATTTTTAATGTAACTGTACATGACACCCATTGAATGCATTGCATCTTTTACACTGTTTGTAGACTTTTTGAATTGACATGTGCGCTATAATAAATGACACTTGGTGAACTGAGCTAATTATACCATGTCCTCAAATTTAGTTCAGTAATACTGTAAGACGGCCAAGAAGGACTTACCTCCAGCACACCTGACTGGCTTCATAATCACTGAATGAATTCAATTTATTCCCATTGACTAACAGCAAAGTGCTGTACTCTGAGCTGTGACCTACATAGGTGCCTTTTACATTGTGAGTTAACAGTACATGTATCCTTAGCCATAATAACTAATAATATGGGTTCCTCTTTTGAATCTTCTTCCTTATGCTCTTCAGGAGCATACAGTTAAAAGTGAATTAAACTGAATTATATATAAACAGAGTTTATATATAAAAATGGCCCTATTGTTTGAAGCTCTGAGTATGCAACATCTGAGTTTTCAGTGCTGGTATGTGTTGGCCAAAATAAAATTCTCAGGTTACTTTCAAACATAAACCCCCGCAAGAAAGTCATTGCTGAAGTTGTTCTTTAGCATGATAGCAATTAGCGATATGCATAATGTTTATCTAGAGTTATTCTTTAGTGCAATAGTAATTAGCAATATACGTGGTGTTTAGCTAAAGTTTTTCTTTAGCACAATAACAATTAGTGATATACATGATGTTTAGCTGAAGTTATTTTTAGCACAATAGTGATTAGTGATAAACATGACATAAGCTAAAGTTATTCTTTAGCACGTTAGTAATTAGTGATATACATGACTTTAAGCTGAAGTTATTTTTTAGCATAATAGTGTTTATCCATGTACCAAAATAATCAAGGTTAATTTTGAGTCTAGTATTTGAACTGAATCATTTTGAGGTCAGTGTTTCACACCCCTTTGTAACAATGTTTGAAGCCGTATGAGACTTAACAGAGTGCAGATTACTCAGTGGCTAGCATATTGCTAAAGTTATTATTATGGAAAACACTGATTTGAGATGTACACAATGTTTTGTTGAAGTTATTCTTTAACAAATAGTAGTGATTAGCAATGTTCATGATGTTTTGCTAAAGTTATTCTTTAGCAGATTAGCAATACACATGATGCTCAGAGTTTTAAAAGTTGAGTTTTTAAGTATGTGCTAACTGTGCTAACTATGGGCTGCTGCAATGCACAGTTTAGCGTTTTCCCACCTTCAACACTTTCAATTCAAGTTACCATCAGCTAAAGACAAAGCTCTTCATGAGTGAAAAGCATGTGAATGGTAAAAATGTCAGGGTTTTACTGTGTGGCAAATGGCTGTGTTTGTCAAATCACAGAAGAGTCATATGATGGTGGTCACTCTCTGTTACACATTCAACTTCTTAACTAAAAGATAACTTATTGTGTGTGTGTGTATATGTGTGTGTGTGTGTGTGTGTGTGTGTGTATGTGTGTGTGTATGTGTGTGGAAGTGTGTCTGCTAGCAGTGGAAAGGAGACGCAACAGAGAAGAGGACATGCTAACAGGAAATTATGCTACAATCAGAGGTCAAACTGAGTTCCTGTTCCAGGTCACTGGCTGATCACATTGATCCCAGGTGACTGCACAGAACAAACAAACTTAAAACGCACACATAAACACCAACTGCAGAAAGCTACTAAGACACAAGTCAGGAACATCAGCCTTTCAGATTGAACCTTGAGATGGAGAAAAGCCTGGGTGGGGGTTAATCTTCAAATTGCTATGGCAATGTCATAAAACCCCCGCCTCTGAGTATCATGGGTAAGCCATAAAGGAAGGTTAGCTTGGCTAAAGTGTAAACAGGCCTTGACGGGGAGCAAAGTCTTCTTTTTAAAACGGTATCATCAGCAGCATAAAACACACTGTACCTACCCAAAGCTTACAGATAATGATGGACAACTGTACACAATAGTGATCTAGAACCCATTTTGGCTAAGTTATAAACTGAAAAATGGTGTGTAAAGATAACATCCACATCAATTTCTAATGGAGGCAGATTTAGTCAGTTTAGCTTGTGTGCATTGAAGAAAAGATGAAAATGTACAGGAACGCTTAAATGCTCTAAGCCAGTTGCTACTGATTGCATTAGCAATCTAGTGATCAAACTGTTATTTTGATCATTAAAGAAATGGCTCTCAAAAAACATCACATTTACATCATTTTCCCCAACCCCAAAGCGTCAGTCAGTCAGCCAGGATGTGTTTTGCATCTGAAGATGGTTCTCCAGTTTTGCACTTAAGCTATGTGGCTAATATAAAGTCTCTGCACTCAAAAAAATAATTGTTGCATGGACTAAATTCATTAATGCCACACTTTTCCATCCCATTTAACAGAATAGAGTCAATGCACAGATGTTGTTACCTCAACATAAACATTTCAGAGAAACTGGCTGAGTTTCTCTGAAATGGAATCTCTTTGGGTCAAAATAAAGAGTTTCCATTTACTGATATGTACTTTCACTGAATTCTGTCCATTTTACTTAAAGCAATTACTTAAAGACAACACAGTTAATTTATTTAATGTTGACATATTTTCTGTTTGTAAGTCAAAGAACTGCTCTATTTTAATGAATGGGAAAGCTCGTAACGCTCAACATGGTGTCTGTTTGTGGAGAAAGTCCCGCCCTTCAAGAAAATGAGCCAGTCAGCTTGCTGGTTACGCCGCAAGCAGGAAAAGCCCCCCCAGCTTTACAACAAACAGTTTTAGTCTGCAGGGCGGAGCCATATTTTAGCCACACCCGCTGCATTTTAGAGCAGGAATTGAG